GGCAATGTTATTTCACATAATTTTAAGTCTTCTACAAGTTCAAACACCCTGGCGTTAAAATCATCCTTTGAGATATGTAAATTATATAAAGATGTTGCGTTATCAAAAAGTGCGAATATATGTTGACCATCAAGTTCTTTCAAACTTGCCACTATTTCACCATTAGCTTTAATCTTGTCGTATTTTGTAAATATGACCTTATTGAAATTTGGTATTTTATTATATCCATAGTCCAAAAGTTGAAATTTGGCATCAATCGCTCCTTTAAGTGAAAGATGCGGATCATTCAATAATGTTATGATATGATCATCCAGAGATATTAATGGATTGTTTGACCTATTCGATGAACTATTTGCATGATGATCCGTGAGCGCTTTGATTTTAATGAGAGCGATGAGTGCTTTTTCCGGTTGTTGTTCTTGAACGAAATGATTCATAATACTTTTTGTCAAATTGAGATCAGTAACTAAGTGTCCTTTATACATGTCATCCAAGAGATACAGAATCCTGTCTGGATCATGCTTGAGAGTCAAATGTAAATATAAAGACATTTCAGAGTATCGAGGGCATAAATTTATATCTTTCATTTCTTGATAAACTTTTGTCGAATTTGAATAATCACCAATCAAAGAATATTGCATCAAAATCGTATCGTATATCAAATTAAATGGCTTTGGTAATGATTCATCGTTTTTCATCTTATCAAACCATTCTTGTGCTATCTCGGTTTTATTAGTATCACACAAATCTCTAATAAGGTAGAAATAACTCCATTCGTCTGGTACGAGACCGTTCTCAGGAGCATCCTTTTCTAAAATTTCAATAGCACCTTTTACATTATCACAACGAACATAAGCAGAAATCATTTGATTATATACAGCCATTGGTTCGTGCTTTCCGGGTAAATTTGGAGAAACCTTTTTATATTCTTTAAAACATTCCAAAGCACTTTCCATATCACCAACATGACTATACATTGATATTAAATAACCAAAAGTATATGGAGATACTATGCCACGCTTTTCCATATATTCAAATACAGTTAAACCTTCTTCTATTCTACCATAAGGAGCAAGTGAACGTAATAAAGCATCACATAAATCTACTTCATAATAATAACCATGAACATCTATGCTTTTTTTGAAAAGTTGAAAGGCTAAATCAATACAATTTTCTTTTTCAAGAGTTTGTATTGCTCTTATATTTCCACCAGCATTTGCTCTTTTTTTTAAGCGATATAATTTTGTTTGAATTTCGAAATCTCTTTTACATAAAGTTTTGATCATTATGTTATAAGTTGATAAGTTAGGTTTCACATTATCACGAATCATCTCGTCATAATATTGGATTAGTTTATCCAAGTTATTATTTTCATTTCGAAATCCGGCGACAGTATCGAGGATTAAATTGTAAGTAAAAGTAGTTGGTTGTACACCGGATCTCTTCATTTCTTCGAAGCGTCGTTCAACTTCTCGCGGAAGTCCCCTTTGTTTCAAAAGCATTAACAAATCATTATACTCTCTAATAAAAAGTTGTTCTTGTCTAAGATCTAGTGGTTTTTGTTGTATACCAGAGTCTGTACTACCACTTATTCCACCATTAAAAATTTCAGTTTGATTTGTTTGGGGAAATGAAGTTGACGCACTATTAGTATTACTGTTGTAATGTCTTCTGCTCATATTAGTTGAGGTTTTAGCACCTCTATTGGAAAAACCACTTGTTGCATGATGTCCTATTACAGTACTACTACTTTTTGCACCTAGTAGATTGCGAGCGGTTTGCCGTGCAATAGCTACTAATGCGGTATTCGTTTTGATATGTTGCATTTTTTTTTTTCAAAGTTCGATTACTCGAATCGGTCTTTTATATAGTTAGATCAGTGATGAACAATAATTAGATTATTTTTATTTTTTTACCATGATCATTTGACCATATATCTGGTCACAAGATGTACGTACAGTGTTATGATAGAGATGACACGCCACTTAGTATATATATATATAGATTTATCGTAACAAAAATTGAATATAACGTTAAATAACGATGAGTCATGAGATTTCAATAAATCAAGATGAGTCATGAGTCTGTTAAATATGATATTTCAGTAAATCAAGATATGAAAATTTCATTTAAAGATCAAGTTTTCTGGACGAATTTCACTAACCTGCGACAGTTGACACTCAACTGTTCATAAGTGTCATTACATTGTCGTTACAGGATCACGGATTGGTGAATAGTCAACATAATTTTAAGTTTTCAAAAATCAGGACAAACGGCAAAAGAAATATTATCAACAAAGAATGTAAAGAATATAATACAGGTAATAATAGTTATGTTGCAGAATAAAAAGTTAATATCAATAAATTATCAATAAATTAAATTTTTTTTTTTATTTGATTTTTTAATTATTATTTTTTTTAAACCAAATTTTTTTAGGATGCATGTGTCATATCCTCAACCTTATCGTTGAAGAAGGCTTAAAAGAAATAAGCTCATTGCAAGAAGTTCACAAAATCAAAAATTTGACCAACGGCCAGTCTTTGTCTTCCTTCTGGCGAGAACCAAATTACGAAAATGTAACCTTTGATTAGGAAATTATATGCAAAGAAGGATTATTAAAGGCGCTTCAAAAAAAACCAAACTCGAACCCTCATTAATCTTGGGAAAAATCGATTTGGACCTCCAATTGTAAATGCATTAGTAAATGTCTACTGTAGAAATTGCACAAAAACATTTTCATATTGTGAAATCGTTCAACTAATATTATTCAATCAGCTGAAAGTTCAAATAAGTATTACTGTATAATACTGTATTATATAGTCGAAACTTTAATGGAGGTGATTTCATAAATATAATGGTAATGATGGATATGTGACTAAGAGTGAGATTAGCTAGTGATTGTTAGTGGTTAGCGATATTATGAATAAATAGCATAATTGAAATGTTCCCACGTATCTCTCTCGATATGACTAACTTATGATTGTATTGATGCTCAAAAATTAAACCGTTGATTGCAATTGGTGCTTAAACGAACACCTTCATCATTATTACCATAAAAATTTTAGTTCCTGTCTCTTCTTTTCACTTTACAAACTTTTATATGTTGTTACAAAAATATCAAATTTAACCTTTTCTGAATCCTACAGCGACAAATAATCAAAATATTGAATATGAACCTTCCTGCTATTTTTTTTTCGTGACAAAGATTTTAAGCACAAGCAAATAAAAATAACCTATTTTTTTTACTGTACTAATCAAAATTTACTCCCGATCCGTTCCGATCGATTGACTACGTAAAAACCTTAAATTAGATTCAACATATATATCTAATAATACAGTCCCTTAATCCGAATTAAAGTTCTTCTTAAATATATATATAACTATATATATATATATATATATATATATATATTATATTGACAAAATTGCTAAGATAATCCATGGTGTGATTTACCTGATACGTACTATATGAGTGCCGCAAAGAGAAAATCTGCAAATCATACTAAGATTTGTGGGTTTCCATTTGCGGATAATAATATATTCGAGAACTGCTAATAGATCGGACTTTATAATTTATCGGAATTAACCCTTGAACAATTCTGACAAGTGACATATGATTTATATTAAATTTAATGTCGTTTTTCATTAGTTTCTTTTAGTCAGTTACGAAAAAATTTAAGGTTTACGACACGTAATTAAGTTACGGCTACATCATTATACCGTAACTACAGTCAGACCTCCCTAAATGCAACCCCTCTAAATGCAACAGCTCTCTAAATGCATGATAAAAGACTAGCCCCATGATGGGATTTATAGATAAATGCACGTTCTTT